GGAAAAAAGAAAACTTTTGGAGCATTTCCATGGTAAATTTTGGTTACACTATCTCACAAATTGTGACAAAATGTGACTGAATGGTGGCAGATTGGAGCTCTGGAAAGCAAACTTAACCTGTCAGCTGCTGAAGCATCTTGCCTGTGGGAGTCTAGTAACATGCACGGCGGCTATGAGAGGGGTAAATGTGCAAATATTCAGTGCAAATATATTTTTCAGTTAACCTTGTTAACAGTCTGTTATCATTTTTGCTGTGCTTACATGTAAATCGTTTTTCCTCACTCTGTGACCCAGTGTGTTAACAGTCCTCTCTGCTCACTCTGCTGCACACACACATACACACACACACTTTATTCTGTTATTATGTTTTTAAAATTGTTTTTATCACCTTTTTCAATATTCATTTTTCCTCTGCCTATCAGACACACACACCGGTGCACAGTTCACACTTCTTCACCAGACAGTGTGCAGTTTCAGTTACTGTATCTTTGATGCTTGGATGTCTGTTGCTTCAAGTGTATCTCCGGCTTGCAGAGACTTGTGTGTGTGTTGAGAGAGAGACTAGTGTGCTTTGTGCCTTGTGTTTTAAGGGGTGGCGGGTGGTGGGATTAATGAGGAAGTCTCTTAGGTATATGATGGCAGGGATTGACACTCTTACCATTCTGCTAAATGGTTGGGCACCTTCTCTCTGTCCTTCTCTCTCTCTCTCTTCTCTATGTTATAAGGAGTTCGGTCTAGATGCCATTTGAAAAGTTGTTCCCTGAAGATAACTTCTGGTTATGGAATTGGCGCTATACAAATAAGATTAGATGTGGAGGACGTCTCTCCCGGCTGACTAACACAGTACTGACCTGTCAGGATGGTCTGGAAGGCCGTCTCAACGTTGGTGGAGTCCAGAGCCGACGTCTCCAGGAAAGATAAACCGTTCTTCTCTGCGGGGCGAAAGTTGAGCAACACGTTAATCGTATTTCAAATATGTGACATTCCTCAGATAGCAGAGCAGCTCGACCCGTTAAAGAGAAATATGTGACAGCGAAAGCATCGAGTTAGACCTTCACTCTGTTACAAACAGTTTATCTCTTATTGTCATTAGAGAACTGTAAGATACACAGTTTAATCTAATCTAATTTACAACTCGTTAGAGCTGGAACTGGATCAGGGTCGACTGAGTTGTGAGTCTTTTCTAACGGCGGTGAGGGGCTTCTACTCGACCTCGGTATTTTTGTTGTCGGGTGCTATTTTCTTTTTGTATACACTCGGTGCGGTTACGTTTTGTGGCTTTGTTTGTCTGCAGCATTATGGGAAAATACAATACATCCTAGTAACCTTGCAGTTTATTTTTATAGGGAAGGATGTATGGTATTTTAATGTAAGTCAAATAAAATCTAAATACTGACCCCATTTCCATGAAACTTGAAACTCCTTGAAATCTTTGGGCGGATACACAAATCACATTTACTTTATTCACATTGTGAGGTTTTATAGTTTATAACCCGTCGTATTGTTATTGTGCATCGCTTTGTGTCCAATAAAGCTTTAAAAATAAAGTTATTGGACTGAAAATGAGATTTAAGTCAGACCTTACAAATCATCCCCTAAAAAACGAACATAAATGTTTAAAACTACTGTAATCTGATCTCAGTAACAGATATAAAATAGTGTCATTAAGTTAATGTTTCGGACGGATATTTCTATGATTTGTTGACAGCTTTTGGTTGTTTAAACGCGTCTTTAGGTGTTTTTTTAGGATGAAATCTTTCACATGATTAGAAATCTTATTCCTGATTTTGTTATTACACTTCTGTTTGGTTCTGATTTTGTGGCATATTTTCCATCTTACATAATTTCTCTGTTACTCATTGTTATTGCTGCACATCTTGACTTATAGCTGTCAACTACTAAATTAATTTAAACTATTTTAATAATAATTTTGAGCCATTTTTAAGAACAAATATCCAATTTCTCAGATTTCAGCTTCTCAAATTCAAATCAATTTTTTTTTTTTTTGCCATTTTCTGACATTTTATGGACCAAACAACTAAACTAATTGAGCGATAATGTAAATAATTGTCAGTTAGATTAGCATTTATGGCTAAACAAACATTCTTACCAGCAAAAGCCCGCGCCTCGTCGGTGGGGACGGCCCGGAGGTGACGCAGGTCGCTCTTGTTGCCCACCAGCATGATGACGATGTTGCTGTCGGCGTGATCTCTCAGCTCCTTCAGCCAGCGCTCCACATTCTCATAAGTTAGATGTTTGGCGATGTCGTAGACCAGGAGAGCGCCGACGGCCCCGCGGTAGTACCTGCAGCAGAGCCAGAGGGATTCAGGTCATCATCTACAGTTATATATATATATATATATAATAATACGTGATGTTAGTGGGAGCAGTTTGTAACCTCAGCCTCTAACAGTCAGTGTGTTATTAGTACAGATGGATTTAAGTGTTTTAGCTCATTCATTAGTTTTATTATCCTTTCTGTAAAACAGCTGTAGTTTAGTTTGCAGTTGCAGAGCTGGAATATATAACACGGACATCGGGAGCGTCTGGATGTTGCTACTGCTTAATGTTTGCACAGGAATGGGATCATCTAAACATTGTGAAGACCTGTTGAGCTTCTCTACAACCTCTGTAGTCTCATGTAGCCGCTCGTTAGCGACCACCTTTTATTAAAGACATAAAAACTTTAAACAATCAGATGTACTGATGTATTTAACGTTGTAGAAGAATACGTGGAAGGCTCTTCAGCTCGTGTTAACGCAGACCTTTACTCTCCGTTAGGGAACCAGAGGTGATTAAACTCTGCAGCGCTCTGTACTCACGCTGATGTGATGGCACGGTAGCGCTCCTGGCCGGCCGTATCCCAGATCTGAGCCTTCACCGTCTTGCCGTCCACTTGGATGCTGCGTGTGGCGAACTCGACTCCGATGGTGCTCTTACTCTCCAGGTTGAACTCATTTCGGGTGAAGCGGGACAGCAGGTTACTCTTTCCCACCCCCGAGTCACCAATAAGGACCACTGCAACACAGAGCGGAGAGAAACCGCTTAAACACAACATCAAACACAGACATTAACTTACAGTTAGTAAGTATATAAAGCTGCAATAATTAACTGATTGAAGTCCGACGACACAAACTTCATCAGCAGCTGATCTGAGAATCTTTTAAGTTATTTCAAACCAATAATGGTACTTTTACACTTTTTTACTTTTTACATTTTAGTACTCTTTCATGCTTTTTATTTTTTTTATTTACAATCATTTTATGGATGATGTCAGCATCCGTCCGACACAGCGTGATGGATCAGCTCCTGTTAGTGGGGCAGCAGGATGGAGACTGTAAGCAGAGCTGCACTGTTAATCTAAATATTATCGCACTCTGAACCAGTGCAAAGTCCAAACTGCTGTGAAAAGATCAAATGTGACAGAACAGCGTTGTAATGACGCACTCGGTCTCCAGATGTTAGAAAACATCTTTGTTTGGTTCAAATCGAACAATAAGATGATTTTAACAGTGAACCAGATCACCATAATAACATTTAATGAATAAAACATGTTTCAAAGTCATTGTTAGAACTACAATGTTATTATTAAAGGCTCATATCGGTACTCAAATGTAAATGTCTTGTTGTGTCTCCACTTTATCTAACCTGCACCATAGATCCTAAATATGTTATTGTGTATATCCGTACACGTATAAACGACACGCAGTGAAAGTATCTGGTGCTAAAGTGCACGTATTACACAACCAGTCAGTGTGATCGTACATAAAATACACAAAACACATAAAATATGAATATAGAAAACCTTCCTGACCTAAAAGAAAGTAAATATAACTGAATACATTCACATAGAAGCTGATACATATTCTAATAACCCGTTTTCTACTTGTTAAAATCAAAGTAACCGGTCGAGACATCTTGTATCTGAGCCTTGTTCTCTGAGGTTTTATCATTTCTCGCTGTGTCTGCTCAGTTTCAGTTTCAGTATTTTCCACAAGTTATTTGTAGCTCAGTGGTGGAAAACAGGATTTTCCAATAATCCATAGTTGGATTTCAAATAAAGAATTAAAGTAAAATCAGTTATTCTTGTAAAAATGAAGAAAAGTCTTCTAAAGACGGTGGTTCCCAACCGGGGGGGGTCACTGAAGCTGCGAGGCCTTCTCGGTTTTAAGGGGTGTTAGAAAACGTAAAAGAATATATGCTGCAGGCTTTTATCTCTTTATCTAAAGGATTAAAGGATTTTTAAGAAATATATAAGAATCCTAAATCTATTTTATTGGCAGCAATAGAAGAAATTAAAGTCAGTAAACAATAACGAGTGTTTCCTGTAGATAATAATAAAGGTTAATAATAAAGGTTCATAATAAAGGTTCATAATAAAGGTTAATAATAAAGGGTACATACATAAAGGTTAATAATAAAGGTTAATTAATAAAGGTTCATAATACAACGGCGTTAATAATAAAGGTTAATAGATATAAGCGTTAGATTAATAAAGCGTTCTCTACGTCGATTGACTAGTAGAAAGAGCCATTTTACCACAGGCTTGGCAGTTAATTAATAATGAACTACTGTCTTTATAAATACATTATAACACATACAGACATTAATCCAACCCCAAACTAACATTACAGTATATATTATTATTTAGATACAAAACAGTTTGTTTACTTCAGCAGGGATTATCTTTAATACAATAAACACAGCTGAGATAGTTATCATCACGATTCACTACAGAAATAATGATAAAAGGTTTTATATTGTAACATAATGAATGTTGTT